GTGTGTGTGCATCCCCTGCCTGGGGGGGGTTGCTGTGTGTGTGGGGGGTGTATGTGTGCGTGTACATGCACGTATCCTTTGCCAGTGGCGTTGATACAGTGTGTGCGTGTGTGTGCGTGTGCGCACCCCCCGCCTGGGCCGGGGTGCGGGAGGGGTGCTGTGCGCACCCCCTGCCTGGTGCTAATGCGGGGGGTGGGTGGGTGTGCGTGCGTGTGCGTGTGTGTTAACCCTTTCAGATTCTGATGTTTCTGATCGGGGAACAGGTGACTTCAAGGACCCAGCTACTGGCATCTTTTCTCCTCCTTTAGCATTTTCCTTGGATTTCATTTCCTTTGCTACATCTCTTTCTCTGGATGGCTCCTTTTCTCTCTCCTTTTCTGCAGTTGACTTTGACTCAACGATGGTAACAACCGTCTTGGATTTTTCTTCTTTTGAAGCTTTTTCTTCTTTCTTGACTTTTTCCTTCTCTTTGTCAGATTTTGGTGTTTTCTCCTTGATCTCTCTTGCTTTATCATCTTTGTTTGCCCGTTCTTCCTTTGGTTTATCTTTCCCATCCTTTCCAAGTGCCTTCATCTCTGGAGTGGCAGCTGGAGTCTTGTCTTTTTTTTCTTTATCTTTTTCCTTCCCGCTTTTTTCTTTCTCCTCTTTCTCTTTAATAATTTTGCTGCATCAAAAACAAAAAGGCCAGTTAGCATGCATACAAAACCAGTTCTAGATTTATCACAAAAGTGTTTGATAGAACCTCCTCTGTCAGATTTCAGATTTGCTGTCTCTTTATCAGGACAGCAACAAGCAGATGTTTATTTAGCTAAAATGGAATGCACTTAACAACAGTGTCAGATAAGTACAGCTGTATATTTTGGAAGAAATAATCTCATTTATTAAACTTTGAAGAAATGGAAACAATTTATATGTAACCTGAAAGTAGAAAAGGCAGGTCAGTTTCAAGTATAATTCTATGGTTTGAAAGGAAGAAAATAGAGAAAGTCAAAGAGTAGTTTTTCTCACCTATTAGAAGCACTGTTTCCATTGCTTGTTGTCACCTTTGGTGTAGCATTGACAGCTTTATTAATAACTTTCACCACACCCTGAGACTTCTCCTTTAGTTTGTCTGTTTTAAAAAAAGAGAACAGCTTTATTTCAACAAGTTAATATACATCCTCATGGTTAAAATACAGTAAGTACCTAGGGTTATTCATGTAAGATCATGTGTAGCTAACAGTTAAAATAGGTAATTAAGTGCAGAACACTCTCTCCCAAAACCAACTACTAAAGACGGCTGTCGCTTGGATTCACCCCGTGTACCCGGGGACTGCAAAATCCCCTCCGTCAAAGAAGAAAAAACTGTGGCATTGTGCTAGTCTAAAATACACTGGCATGTATGCTTTCTGTAGATACGCAGCATGCTGTCACTCCCCTAGATTTCAAAACATAAGTGTCTGTATAAATGGGCACGTTCACTGCGTGGTTTCTACAAACCATTCAGTATGCTTCTTGTATCAGTATTTCGCTGCCCGGGTGAAGGTAGACCTTCACTGGTACCTTATGTACGTACAGTCCATATTTATAGTAGGTCTTGGACTTCATTCAACTCAAGTTACATAATGATTAAGATATAAATAAGCGGTATATTTGCAGTTTCTCGGACATTTTAATTCATTGCAGATGAGACCATCTCTAGCATCGCTGACAAAATTGTCACTTTTTAAATGTTTGTGTAAAAAGGGAAGTGTCAGTAGCATCAGGTGGAGGCAACATTCCTTAGCAAATACACAGTCATTGAGACCTTGCTATTAAAAGGGCTCCTAAGCAAAGGATTTCAGTGACCCCATCCTGTAGCTCTGATGAAGAGCTGCCAGGATCGGTGTAGAGGAGGAAGAATAGCAGCGAGGCTGGACAGGCTTGGGAGTGGGAAAAGCCTGTCTAGTGAGGGTTTGCTTTAAAAACACCGAGAGTTCAAGTTTGCTCGGCTGGCGAGTCGTACCCAAGTCAGTGCAGGGCTAGCAGAGGCTGGGCAAGCTGTGAGAAACTAACGTCCTACCAAGCCTGGGGCACCATCCTCCTCCCGGGGAGTTTTACTAGAAACTTTCAGGGTAGCAGGGTCAGTCAGTACGTGCCGCTTGTGAGACTTGTTTGCTCTGTGATCACCCGAGGTGTACTAGCAAAGCTCTGGAAATCTGTGCAGTACACACAAAAAAAGTTTGTTGCTGGTTCTTAACTCTGCTGTCTTTTCCATTCAAACAACAACTCATAAACCGTCTCCTCCCTCAGCCTCATTGGAACTTGCAGCTGCCTTGTTGTGTTGTGGGTTTTTTCTTTTTTTTTTTTTTTTTAATGATGCTTCCACAGGCAGCTCTCACAACAGCGTTCGACTTGCTCTCGCCTGCTTCTTTCTCAGCTGGATGCTGTCACCAGGGCTCAGCAGGTTGGCCTCATTCAGACATATGCAGACGGTAAAAATGAAAGCATCTTCAGCTTGAGATGAGGAAGAAGTGCTTTTTGGAGCAGCACGCTCCAGTCTGAGAGTTTCCATTGGCCTCAGTGTTTTGAAATGTCCTGTTGCCGTAACGATGCCATATCATATGTATTTATTTATTCATGCTCAGGCTTTTTTTCTAAGTGCAAGTTAATTGGCAAATTCTAGCTTGCCATTCAAGGCAAGGCGAGGAGTTGGGATTCTCAATAGCTTTCTTGCCAACATTTGGGATTTGGCCAAACAGCTTGCTACTGTGACTTTTAGAAGAAAATCTTGATCTTATGTGACTTCCTTGAGCTCCATGTCACTGCATGCGCAGGTAAAATATTTTTCATGGCGCTACTGTATTTAAACCTACCTGCTGGAGGACATTACAGTCAGTGGGTTTTTTGACTCTGTATGTTGTTCTTATGTAAACAGCATGTTGGGGAGGGGCTGTCTGGTCTCGAAGTCTGCATGGTTCAGAGGAAACGAGTCTTGGTGAAGGAGAGATGAGGTGTCTGGTGAGGGGGGCAGTGATCGGGAGCACCGCAGTGCTGTGGGATCCCGCTGCAGACCCCCCCCTCTGAAGGCATTTGCTCTTCCAGAGTACAGACCTGCTGCTCCTGACAGGCAGAGCCCGGGAGGGAAAGCCGGGAGCCAGAAACGCAAGCGCTTAAAGTTGCGAGCCACTTCGGCTGCATCAGAGTAGTAGACATACGTGCATTCTAAAAATGATTTTTTTTGATGTTTTCAGGGGTCATTTCTATTAACTCATCATGTTATTGCGTAATACCGTCTGACCCAGCCACACAGTACGCTCGCAGCTCTTGGAGTTAAATAACGATCGCCTCTGAAAGGACTTTCCCTTTTTCTATAGTGTGGCTATGGGAGATTTTTTTCATTTTTAGAAATAAGTTTTTTTACCTAATATATGTCTGAATATTATAAAGTTGGACACACAATAAAAACAGGCTGGTGTTTACTTTGTTGGGTTGTTGTGCTGTTTCTACTCCTTTTCAGGATGTGAGCATCCTAAGAGAACACATTTTTGATTTCTCACAAGTAACTGGCATCTTTCTCTTATGGTTATTACTGAGGTAGTGGCACAGGGTATTTAATTTCTTGGATTTTACAGTAAATATTTGGGACATGTTGTTTTAACTCACATTTTGGCAGGTAGAAATGAGTGTCTACTTCCTAACAATAATTCTAACTGTAAATCAAAATAAACTTTCCAAATTTTAATTGCAGAGGTCTCTAAGATGTACAACAGTGTTCTATGGGATACTGTGAAAATAAATTGCTCAGGACATTATAGACTAGATTTTACCTATTGTAAGTGTAAATTTTTGTGCAATCTCATGTTTATTTATCTATAATTATCTGCCTATATGGAAAGGATTTGGAAAGAATTTCATTATTTTGAATTTTTTTCTCAAGTAGTATGCAATTGTAGGTATGGTATTGCATGCTATAATAAATAGATCATTTAGTGATGCTCAAATTCAATCTAAGTTAAATACATATATATTAAATCTTATGATTAAATATAAAAAGTGATCAGAGAAGCTGACAGTTCAATTTTTTTATTGAACAAAACTTAGAAGTTTCTTATCTTGGGTAGCCATAGGTATAAAAACAGTCCCAGCACAGCTTCCCAGATCACCAAATACCATAAAAGCCTTAGATATAATATGCATCAGTCAAGATATTTAAAAATCTATTAAGCTTAAAACTGCCTGTAGCCTCCATTAAAGCTGGAAGGACTGCAAAGGCTATTCTGCTTTTTGTCCTTCTGGTGCTCATGACAGAACATGCAGAAACTTCAGTGCAAGTCGCACGTCGGCATCCTCCTGAAGTTTCACTTGTTTACTGTGCAATACATCACTTTCTTCCAAGGCTGGAGTAAACTGAGGAGTTTTTAAACTGAGGAGTTACTTTTTTCACCAGCACGGAAAGCATGATGATGTTAACTGCATGATCAGTAAATAATGAATATTAGTTTGAACATACTTGATCATGGATTATGGTGACTGCGTGAACAATATGGAAACAGTAATGGAAAAGCCTTAGGCCGCTAAAATCTGTGGGGTTTTTAATGGATTTGTTTCTAATGCAGGAAATCTATATTTAGCCACAATGGCAGATCGGCTGTGACTTAGGTGCCTGGCTTCTCTACAGCCCTATTCCTCCTCCGGATGACTACTAAGACTAGTCAGTAGCATCACTTCTGGCAGCAGCAAGAGACTCAGAACCAACAATCTATTAGCTAATAAATAATATATGTTGCGCTGGCATAATGCAGCTCTGAGTTTTTAGGAGTAGGCTGTGATAAGCAGCAGTTGTAATCTTTACAAGGAACAATGGCAATCTACCAATTTACCTCTCATAACACCATGACGGGGGACGGCAGTACACTGTGAAATTGCACGAGGGCAGATATGGTCCGAGCCTAGACGGAGGGGCTGAGCAGCTCTGTTATCATGGCATGGGCACGCGATAGAGGGAGAAGCCTCCATGCTGGTCAGTGCTTCTCCCTGGGAAGTCATGCTTGCTGTTGCAGGGTATCCTTCATGCTGCCATCATACTTGGGCATTAGCTTGTTAGGAAATAAACATCAGCTCTTTAGGTAAAACCATGTAACAAGGAAACGAATGCAAAGCTGTGCTGATAATTAACTGAACAAAGCTCTCAGATGTAATCTTTGATGACACTGGAGATGAGCTTCTCCCCCGATTGCCTAACAAGTTAAGAAATAGAAATCAATTATGGCAGTGCAGTCCAAATACAGAATAAATTTGCCTCAGAACACGAATAAGACATCTCAAGGCAGTTAATAAAATAGTTTCCTACAGTACCTCATCTATAGTTAACTTTTAGAAAATTAGCTGTATTTTAAATATAGAGAGATAAAAATCACAACCAAACTCAACAGCGCAAAATGAGGCCATAATGCTGCTTTCCACAGAGCTTTCAGTTGTGTCTTTTGCTCTCTTAAAGAGTGAGGGTTTGGTTTCCCTGCAAGGTTGATGACCTCATCTCAGCTGGATGTACTCTCAGATGACTGAATAATCCTGCTATAACTTATGGCCATATGTTTAGTGTAAATTTGAATATATCAGATCCTGGGACAGTCTGAGCAGAAAGTGTTGGCAGGCTGCAGCAGCTAGAAGAAACCCGCTAATGTATTTAAGCAGACTCAAAACAGTGAACTGGCCTAATTAGCCTTGAAATCACAAAGCTACGAATGACACTGTTGTATGTGCTCATCCAGTGGTTGCTGAGATTAATAGCACACAAAGTTGATCTACCTTGACAGTAGTGCCATCTAGAAGGTCTTGCCTTCTAGAATATTTCCATCTCATGCTTTCTTCATTATCGTTATTGCTGACATAGAGCAAACGTCTTCACTGGGTAGGCGTGGTGCTTGCATTTATATTCAGGGCTAGCCTGGCTACCAATAGTCGCTTTAGTCCCTGTTCAGGCATTTCATTACAGTAGCGCTAACAGTGCTGGTATCTTCTGCTCCCCTTGAACTAAAGAAGGGATGAAAATGTTTGGCTGCTCTGAAAATGAGGACATATTTGTAGATCACCTAGTAGAAGCAAAAATGTTTGGCTTTTGTTCAGTAGCCTTGCAGTTAGGGTACTCACCCAGAAGTAGGAAATCAAGCTGTTAGGTCTTAGATTA